ACAAAACAAAATTTTTAAAAAGCACAGCCCGTTTTGACCATAAGCATAGGTTTTTCTCAGGTACATGTAGCTGTGCATATGGAGAAGTGTCCTTGTATACCATCATGAATTACTAAAACAACACAGGTGTGTTAATTACACTAAAAACCTACCCCTGTCCATATATGGACTATATCCTGCACTTTTCCACCCCACCCAATATGGAGAATAGACTGTGTTTTCCTTTATAGACGCGTACGACCTTTCCAAGATGGCTGCGCGTCTATTGTGGAGCGCACTAGTCACATAGTACAACATATAGTACTATCGGAAGTGGACGTCATTGATAGGACTATGTGACTAGCGCGATCCGGAATAGAAGCATGGCCATCTTGGGAACGTCGTACACATGATAGTTGCTCTCTTCCGTAACATCCCTACATAAATATCCTAAGACTATTTTCTAACACTATTGGCATACTGTAATAACCAAACCCACGGGTACATAGTTTGTACTTTTCTTACTCTACTGTATCCTCCAGTCACACAAAAAAAGCTACCAAGATTTTTACCCTAAGCTCTTAGACACCGACAATTTTATGAAATGAAAGCCTATTAAATATTACGTTATTTGGCTGTCTGCACATTGCTATACATTTCTAAAATCCGAATGCTAGAGGATTAGCCTGGTATTAAAAGTACAAATGGTCCTTGTAACAAATGCCTCAATGTTGTGTATTTGATTAACATCACACAGAATGTTTGAGCTACGATTTTGAACTACCACCTGTGCATACATCTTTTTATTTTTCCCTTCACTTATTATTTCTTCACATGCCTCATGTTTTTTTATTTGTCTTTAAAAACAAATAAAAATTGTCAAATCCACAAAATAAAAAGAAGGGAAACCTCATAAACCGATTCAATAAAAGACCTTATCTCTCCTACTCTGAATAATCTTGAAAGATTATAAACCCAATTCTTTTAATTTCTTTAAAACACTCTTGGAAAGTTTGGTCTAGTTGGTGCCAGTAAAGATCAATGGATCCCACATCTGCTCCTTTATGTGTATTCCTTTATTTCTTAACTATTCTTTTTGAACAAGGCAAAGTGTGTAGCACAATTAATACCAGCATTTCCTAAATATGCCTGGTAAATTCCCTTACATAATACATAGCAAAAACCTCTGTATTTCATTCATCTATGCGTAAATGTTTTGTTTTTGTTTTTTTTTCTGTTCAGAAACCATATAATCTGCATCTTCCACCTCATTAACAAGATCATTTTGTTGGATTTTACCTAAAGCTGGTGTAAATACCTTGGCCTAATGTGTACATTCAGCATGGGGAGCACAAAGCTGTATCCCTGGCAATACCGATCCCTCTGCCTCCTCCCTCCCCCCGTGCCCCGCTTCCCCGGTAAATAAAGGGTCAAAATCCCTTTATTTACTTATCTTATCCCAGCGCCAATGTCCCTTGGTGCTGTGACAAAGCTCCACCCCCTCCCCATCCCATGACGAGCGGGATCTAATGCACATGCGTGGCAAATGCCACGCGTAGACGACCTCCCTACAGGAAAGCATTGAATCCATGCTTTCCTATGGGGAAAAATCTGATGCTGGAGGTCCTCATGCAGAGCGATTATGATTCCAGAAGCACCCCCAGTGGCTCTCTGGAACTGCAATGTTTATTCACAGCACTCGGTGCAAAAAGGATACAGCACCCAGACCACTTTAACGAGCTGAAGTGGTCTGGGTGCCCCTTTAAGCCATGTTGCTACAGGATTGTTTGTCTGAATATGATGTCATTGAACCATTGGTTATATTTTATGTTTCTTATCACTATAATTTATTTCATTCTTTGTCGGTATATTAATGTGAAGTAAAGGAAAAGCATAATACTTGCCTCTGTGTCTTTAAAAAAAAAAACATGACTTTCCACGATGATATAGTAAATTATTCTATTAAATCTGGGTTTTGAGGAATATTTTGCACAAAAAAATAGCTACAGGAATGTGTAAAGTATTGAGTTTGGTGAACTTTTCTCAATTTAGATATTACTTTGTACTTTGTTGCTGTTTTCATATTCAAGGAATGTTAAATAGAAGAGGCTTCACATAGCACACTAAGTACAAAAAATGCAGTTTATAATTTTTTAAGTTAAATTATTGAGCTGTAGTTCCTAATATAATGTAAATTTGTTTAAACTGACATTTGAACAAAAAGATCATTCAGTACACACTTTTTTTACAGTGCTATATTCTGAAAAACTTTTTATTCATCATAACATTTAAAGTTTCATTTTATTAATACTGTGTTGCTTCTATTCAAATGTCTAGAATTATTTTCATTTTGATAGACACGCATAATATTCCTAACATCTCTGTATAATAAAAACCATTGTTGTTTCTGTATTACTCATTCATGTGTTAAACATTTGACCTTTGTCACTTGAATTTTGAAAGATTGAATATGTTATTATTTTGTTTGTGCTTTTTCTTGCTGTTCGTTTTCTATTCAAAATATCAGTGTACATTTTCCAATTTTGGATTTATCATAATAGAAAAAGAAGACTAAGATCAGTGTAAAGTGGATGGTAATCTATACTAATTCATTTTTTCTGACCTGGAAGACACGTTTTATCCAACAGAGCCTCTTGCTGCCCCAGCATAGACAAGAATAAAAAAAAAAAATGAAACAAACTCAGAAATGACAAGTCCACTTAAATCTTAATAATTTTGCAACTGCATGAAAGGCAGGGACACAACTAATGAAAAGAGGGCACTGGTGCAAAAGCAGATTTAGGCTCCATCTACAGGGCCGGTCAAAAGGTAGATCTCTCGTGATGCTCTGCCAGCTGTGAATCTATCATTTTCCTGCCTGAAATAGCGAGTATGTGTTTCTGTAGGTCTGTGTGAATGTTTGCATATTTGTGTACAATGCTGATGTTTGAGTGCAGGGGTGTATTTGTGGGTAGTAATGGTGTTTGAATGCAGGGCTTTGTTTGTTTGTAGTGATATGTTTGCACACAGAGTATGAAGGGGTGTGTTTTTGTAGTATTTGTTTTTGAACACAGTTATATTTGTGTGAAGTATTTGTTTACTAAAAGGTTGTTTTTGTTGGTATTTGACTGCAGTTTGAATGCATGAATTTGTGTCTGATTAATGTTGTCGTTTGAAGGCAGGGGTGTGTTTTTTATAATGTGAGTGTTTTGTGTAGTGTTGGTGTTTGCATGCCGTGGTGTGTTTCTGTGTGATATTGATGATTGCATATACACATACAGTGCCACACACATACAAATGCACATTGCCACACAAAGGTATGCATACACAGTGACACACAAAGGGGTTGAGTGCTCTGCTCAATGAGCTTACATGCCAGAGGTAGTGGGGTATAGTGACACAAAGGGTATAAGTAGTAATGAAATAGGTTGCTAGAAAAGTAAATCATTGAAAACTTAGTAGGTTATTTTTGACAGTTGCAGGAGAGGAATCATAGGGGAGGGGAGGATGAAAACCCACTAACATTTTAGATGATATGCTTTCCTGAAGAAGTGTGTTTTCAAATATTTTTAAAGAAGTTTTTAAACACACATAAACAGATGCTGACATGCAAACACACAAAGATACACACACAGATTCACAAATACTGACACTCGTGGATACAACAAAAACACATACAGGGAGTGCAGAATTATTAGGCAAGTTGTATTTTTGAGGATTAATTTTATTATTGAACAACAACCATGTTCTCAATGAACCCAAAAAACTCATTAATATCAAAGCTGAATATTTTTGGAAGTAGTTTTTAGTTTGTTTTTAGTTATAGCTATGTTAGGGGGATATCTGTGTGTGCAGGTGACTATTACTGTGCATAATTATTAGGCAACTTAACAAAAAACAAATATATACCCATTTCAATTATTTATTATTACCAGTGAAACCAATATAACATCTCAACATTCACAAATATACATTTCTGACATTCAAAAACAAAACAAAAACAAATCAGTGACCAATATAGCCACCTTTCTTTGCAAGGACACTCAAAAGCCTGCCATCCATGGATTCTGTCAGTGTTTTGATCTGTTCACCATCAACATTGCGTGCAGCAGCAACCACAGCCTCCCAGACACTGTTCAGAGAGGTGTACTGTTTTCCCTCCTTGTAAATCTCACATTTGATGATGGACCACAGGTTCTCAATGGGGTTCAGATCAGGTGAACAAGGAGGCCATGTCATTAGATTTTCTTCTTTATACCCTTTCTTGCCAGCCACGCTGTGGAGTACTTGGACGCGTGTGATGGAGCATTGTCCTGCATGAAAATCATGTTTTTCTTGAAGGATGCAGACTTCTTCCTGTACCACTGTTTGAAGAAGGTGTCTTCCAGGAACTGGCAGTAGGACTGGGAGTTGAGCTTGACTCCATCCTCAACCCGAAAAGGCCCCACAAGCTCATCTTTGATGATATCAGCCCAAACCAGTACTCCACCTCCACCTTGCTGGCGTCTGAGTCGGACTGGAGCTCTCTGCCCTTTACCAATCCAGCGACGGGCCCATCCATCTTGCCCATCAAGACTCACTCTCATTTCATCAGTCCATAAAACCTTAGAAAAATCAGTCTTGAGATATTTCTTGGCCCAGTCATGACGTTTCAGCTTGTGTGTCTTGTTCAGTGGTGGTCGTCTTTCAGCCTTTCTTACATTGGCCATGTCTCTGAGTATTGCACACCTTGTGCTTTTGGGCACTCCAGTGATGTTGCAGCTCTGAAATATGGCCAAACTGGTGGCAAGTGGCATCGTGGCAGCTGCACGCTTGACTTTTCTCAGTTCATGGGCAGTTATTTTGCGCCTTGGTTTTTCCACACGCTTCTTGCGACCCTGTTGACTATTTTGAATGAAACGCTTGATTGTTCGATGATCACGCTTCAGAAGCTTTGCAATTTTAAGAGTGTTGCATCCCTCTGCAAGATATCTCACTATTTTTGACTTTTCTGAGCCTGTCAAGTCCTTCTTTTTACCCATTTTGCCAAAGGAAAGGAAGTTGCCTAATAATTATGCACACCTGATATAGGGTGTTGATGTCATTAGACCACACCCCTTCTCATTACAGAGATGCCCATCACCTAATATGCTTAATTGGTAGTAGGCTTTCGAGCCTATACAGCTTGGAGTAAGACAACATGCATAAAGAGGATGATGTGGTCAAAATACTCATTTGCCTAATAATTCTGCACTCCCTGTAGATGCATTTATACTCTCTCCCAGTCCAGTTCTCCCTCCTAAAGTGCACTCTTCAAATGTTACCCCTGGACCCTGTGGAAGCTCCATGCAGCCTTGAATTCTTCTATTTCATGGCATTTAGTAGTATCAATGCGCCCGGAAGAGCCAAATAACATTCATGAGAGCAACGGATGTTGGCAGACTCCTTGAACTGCTTGCCCACACCAGCTGCACAGCTAGTAGTTCCGTGCTTGATTAAAGGCATCAATGCATTGTCTAGGTAAGTGTCTCATTCTTCTCTCAATGATAAGTCCAGGAGCAGACATTTTTTTTACCATTCAAAAATAAACATTTAAATAATATCATAATGTTATATTTCTTAATAATAATGTTACTATAATGTTTTTTCACAATTCTCATTTACATTCCCATGCACACTGCTTATATAACTCCTAAAGAAAATCCATGATAGAAGCAAAGTAAGGAGAGCAATGCATGATCCTGATTGCCTAGGTTTCTTGGGATGCATCCATAAGTGTCCCTTTTATCTTGTGTTATAAGTACCATTTTACATAGAAATCTACAGTTTTGCAATCTTTCTTGGTAGCAACATATGAGTGTCAAGACGAAATCCAAAAAGGCTGTCCTTCTTCTCCTGCTTGAGAATTCACACACAATGGAAGTTAGGACTTCTCATAAAGAAACATTGGTGTCCGGATTCTTCTCTATGAGAAACATTAATTTGGTTACTAGATCATCACTAGTGATGATCTCTCAGAGGTGGAGAAGACCTGCATCAATTTTTGGAGAGCTCTAAATCTAAAATGCAACATTCAAAAAATAGAAAAAATAAATCACACCGCTTTGAATAATTGTTATACATTATGTCTATGTCCCGATATAAAAAAGATAAAAGAAAAATCTCTCACTTAAAACTAAAACTTGTGTAAACTGGATTAAAAGCCACAGTGCCTTCACAGAATGGAACAAAGTTACAGGGAACAAGTATCAATGATACAATAATGCTTTAAACAGCTTTTGTCCAGTTTACGCAGTTTTATAAAACACAAAAGCTACAGCACACCTCTCATAGTGGTTAAAGAGGACATTACTGGAGAAGGATCAGAGACCGCAGATATGTTGCAAACACATTGTTAGTTTTTTTTCCTGAAAATGTGTATCAAGTCTAAAACATTTTTTTTTTCCAATTTGGCTGGTGGTGTTATGGTTGCAAAAAGCAACAACTTTTGATGCTTGCATCTATAATTAACCACTAAGCTCCAATACAACTTTAGCTTAATGCCTGTGACTTAGAGAGCCAACATAAAAAAATTGTCTAATTTTCAAACAGCACAGTGTGTTTACTTTAGAAGTGTCTCTCTTTTGATCATTTAATATAATTTTAACCACACACTGTAGGCTCCTGCATACTCTAGCAGGCTATTAACAGAGAAGGAGATAATAAATTCTAAATTAAACAGACCATGCAATAAAGGAAGTTTAAACATTGGATATCTATTTACATAAAATGTATAGGCAGACTGTGTAGGTTATGTGCAGGGGACGTGTGAGTAGGGCTGTATAAAGAAAGTGATTTAACTCCTATACAGAAAATTGAACAATTACACTGCAGTAGCATGACCTATTTACCAAAACCACTCCATTAATCAAAGTTTGTTTTGGTGTTTATGGTGTCACTATAATGATACATACTGAAAAATACATCCAGGTAATTCTGTTTTTATACCAAATAAAAATACAACAGGGACCACAAATAAAATATTAATTGACGCTGTAACTTTTATAATGAAAGTATGCTGTCCTCATTGAAAAACAATTGAACACTAGAACAAAATATCATCAATACAAGAGAATTTCCTATTAGACAAAATAGGTTGTAACCACATCTTAATGTAACATTTAAGCATTTTATTTCAGTAAATTGCTTCTATTCTGTGGATTTGTATAGACACAGCATGAACATCTAAATTTTCGTACTGTGCAGCACTGAATCAATATGACTTTACACAGTTTTGTTTATATACATTCTGTTTTTGTTAAAGTAAATTAAATGTAGATAGCAATATCATATTAAATTTAAATCCAATCCTTATAATCAGGGGGAATTTATGTCAAATCTAATTTAAAGGATGCCTCAAAAAAGAAGACAATGGATCAGTGCTTAATATCCCAAAAAATAAAGAAAAAAGTAATAAAGGATAAAAAAAATATATGATTCATGCATTGCAGAGGAGTTTTGCCCTGCATTGGAAAATGTCCGCAAGCAGGGCAAATCAAAGAAGACCAGAGGCAGAGAGAAGGAAGATGGAGGATGGCCCATATTTAGGTGTTACATGAAGAGTAACAACCACAAAGTTTAAAGGTGGCAAATCTAGAATGGAAGAGTGGTGAATATTTTTTTATATTTTTTATCTTTGTGATATACACTAATTGACCACAATGTTAAAAACACATGCCTAATATTGTGTAGGTCCTCCTCGTCCTGACAAAACAGCTGTGATGTGTCGAGGAATGGACTCCACAAGAACTCTGCATGTATCCTCTATTATCTAGTGCCAAGACATTAGCAGCAGATCCTTTAAATCCTGCAATTCGAAAGGTGGGTCTCCATGGATTGGTTTTGTTGTTCAATTGGGTTGAGATCTGGGGAACTTGGAGACCAAGGCAACACCTTGAACTCTTTGTTATGTCTCTCAAACTATTCCTGAACAATATTTTCAGTGTGGCAGGAAGCATTATCCTGCTCAGAGAGATCTTCAGGAAACATCACTGCCATGAGGTACATGATCTGCAAGAATCTCTAGCTACGTGGTATTTGTCAATGTAACATCCATATGAATCCCAAGGTTTCCCAGTAGAAACTTGTCTAGAGCATAACACCACCTTCACCGGCATGCTTTCTTCCCATAGTGCATCCTGTTGCCATCTCTTCTCCAGGTAAAGAATGCACATGCACTCGGCCATCCACTTGATGAGATAGAAAAGGTGTTTCAGGCAACCTTCTTCCATTGCTCCATGGTCCAGTTCTGCATCTACACAGCCCCAAACACAGCAAACCGTGATACACTGTGTGTTCTGACACCTGGTCAGTATTACATTCTTCAACAATTTAAGCTACAGTAGATCTTTTGTATGTTTGGACCAGAAGGGATAGCCTTCACTCTCCACATGTATCAATGAGTCTTGGGGAATGCTGGTTCACCTGTTGTCCTTCCTTGCACCACTTTTGGTAGATACTAACCGATGCATATCGGGAATCTGGAAACTTGCCGTTTCGGGGATGCTCTGACCCAGTTGTCTAGCCATCACTATTTGGCCGTTGTTAAAGTCATTCAAATCTTTTTGCTTGCCTATTTTCCTGTTTCCAACACATGAAGTTCAAGAACTGACTGTTCACTTGCCTAATATATCTTACTCCATGACAAGTGCCATTGCAATGATATAATCAATCTTATTCACTTCATCTGTCAGTGATTTTAACCCCTTAAGACCGCAGCCAAATGTACAAGTTGTGATCAAAACAAAACGTAAACAAAACCTGGCATTTGCGCTATATGTCTGTCCAACCGTAATTCACCTCTTTCATATTAAATGCACCCACACTTATTATATATCATTTTATTCAGGGGAAACAGGGCTTTCATTTAACATAAAATATTTAGGTATTGAACATAATTTAATATGAATAAAACATAAAAAAATGGAAGAAAATATATTTTTTAAAATTTTCTTAGTTCTACGTGACATTTTAACTGTGAAAGTGAAAATACTGTTTGCTTTTACTGCAATAAAATACACATATTTGTATTCAGCAATTTCGCACGTGTAAAACAGTACCCCCTATGTACAGGTTTTATGGTGTTTTGGGAAGTTACAGGGTCAAATATAGCGTGTTACATTTTTCAGCTTTTCACATTGAAATTCGCCAGATTGGTTACATTGCCTTTGAGACCATATGGTAGCCCAGGAATAAGAATTACCCCCATGATGGCATACCATTTGCAAAAGTAGACAACCCAAGGTATTGCAAATGGGGTATATCCAGTCTTTTTTAGTAGCCACTTGGTCACAAACACAGGCCAAAGTTAGTGTTAATATTTGAAAATGCAAAAAACTAATTTGAACGCCAATTTTGGCCAGTGTTTGTGACTAAGTTGCTACTAAAAAAGACTGAACATACCCCATTTGCAATACCCTGGGTTGTCTACTATTGCAAATGGTTTACTGTCATGGCGGTAATTTTCATTCCTGGGCTACCGTACGGTCTCAAAGGCAACATAACCAACCTGGTGAATTTTAATGTGAAAAAACTGAAATGCAAGCCTTATATTTGACTTTGTAACTTATGAAAACACCATAAAACCTGTACATGAGGGGTACTGTTATACTCAGTAGACTTCGCTGGACACAAATATTAGTGTTTCAAAACAGTAAAACGTATCACAACAATTATATCGTCAGTGTAAGTGCCATTTGTGTGTGAAAAATGCAAAAAATATCACTGTCACTGACGATATCGTCGTTGTAATAAATTTTACTGTTTTGAAAACACTAATATTTGTGTTCAGCGAAGTATTCCGAGTAAAACAGTACCCCCCATGTACAGGTTTTATGGTGTCTTGGAAAGTTACAGGGTTAAATATAGTGCTAGCAAATTAAATTCCCTGAACTTTTGGCCTGGGTTGTCAGGCAGGTCCTGCAAATTGTAAATAATAAAATGACCTAATTATGTAAAATTATTACATAAATATATACGTAAAATTATATATATACACGTGTGTATATATATATATTTTTTTTATTTATTTTTTATTTTTTTTGTTTCCCTACCCAGCCTGACTGGAAGTGCTCTCAGTGTGCATTGAGCTGCTTCCTTTCAGACTGGGTAGAGGAAGAGAGGCTCCTCCACTGAAGTCCATGGCTCGGCCAAGCTACAAGAAGGTACAGGAGGGGGATACAAATGGTGGGGATGAGACACATAGAGGAGCTGTGGGGAAT